CAAAAAAGAGTTTAGGCACTTTAAAAAGAAAACCATCAGTCCAATATCTTAACAGACTTCAGTTTTCATTTGAAGATTCTCTAAAAAGAAAACGATCAGTCCAATATCTTGACAGACTTCAGTTTTCATTTGAAGAAGATTCTCTCTCCACCAGCAGGGCCAGTTGCAGGGCAGCATTGCCTTCAGGAAAGGGGGTGCCGCTTCTCTCTCCCTCACTTCCTCCCCTCACATCCCCCTCCAACTGCTAGCTGCTGCTTCTGAGGCAGGGAGCAAGGCCCAGAGAGGTGGTCTCACTGGAGGAGCACTACCAGACAATTTCTCACTCTTAGAGCTTTTTCTCTTACGGAGGGAGCATCTCTGTGGTTTCTCTGGGAAGTCTCCTGTGTCCCTCCCACAGATGGGCAGTGCCTCTGCTGTCAGGGAACCGTATTAGTGGAGGATGTGATCTGACTTCCTGTGACCCAGCTGGTGACCTCCAACTCCCATCTATACTTACTGATATGATGGATAGTGGCCTTATCAGTCATCTTTGTTTTCCTTCATAGAGACCGTTTTCCTTTCTATGTATTCTGATATTTAAGATGGTTTATTTTTTATCTAGTGGTCACTGTGATTAATATCTGAAAACCTTTATTTCTTTAGACAGTATCTACTTAATTCTCTATGAGAAATAATGAAATTAAGATATTTTCTTCTCCTGCACCATTTCTCCATTATCTTATTTGAGTCCATCATACTATATCCTGTCTAACTTTGTGCTCTTAAACATACCTACACTTCTATTAGTTTGACTGTAAGCTTTAAATGATATCCTTTGAACCCTACCTATTAAACACAGGGGGAAAATATTCTGAATTTACCACCGTCTTTGTTCCCCTTTTCCTCTCAAATTTGGTTAGTTACATAATTTCATATTGTCAGGTCATATAACCTTTACATTCTGTTCTATTGCATTAATCTCCAAATTTGTTTTAACCTACAGTTAAACAGACTCAATGCTCAAAACAGTTCTTTTGCTGGAATTTTTCCACTTATTTCTTGGTAGACTGAAGTATGTCTTTGACTAGATTCCTTAAGAAGAGTTCATGGGAATATTCTGCCTCAATTTTCTTATACTAAAAATAAAAACAGTTTCAATGAATATAAAATCCTTGGATCAAACACTCTTCTTAAGGATTTTGTCAGTGTTCTTCAATGTTGAGTAATAAGGTGCAGTGAAAATTTCCCCTTTTATATGTGAGGTGATCTTCTGGCGTGGCTGTTGGTCCAAATAATTCTTTACAGATGAAGTCCAATAACTTTATTGGGGTTACACTGCAAGGCTGGCCATTTTATGTTAATTTTTCCTAGGTACAATGCATCATTTCAAACTGTAGATTCGAGCTCTCCTTTCTGTAAAGTTTCCTTGATTTAGATCTTTAAATTTTTATTCTATTATTTTCCCTTCTTCAGGGAATTTTTGTACTTTTCATTCACATCTCTAATCTTTTTTAACTATTTCTATTTCACTTTGCTCACTTATTTCATTCCTATTTTTTATACATTATCTTGTGTCACTTTTAACTTTGCCTTCATTTTTTTTTTTGATGGTTTTCATTTTTCCCTTCACTTTCTTGAACTTAGGTTTCTTTGCCTATTGACTTGCCTGAACTCCTGTATTTCTGATTTGTGCTCCAGCTCTTTATAGAGGTGGGCTTTTTCTTTAATTTGTGAAATATTTGGTTAAAATTTTCATTTGTTCTGTGTCAGCATTTTTTCGAGTGAGTGTTTCTCTTTATCGTTTTGTTTTTTCATGTTTCTTCATCATTTTTTAGTAATTATGTTTGACTAGATCCCGAACTGGTCCATTTTTTGATTACTCATTTTTGAAGGCAGTTTTTCCTGGACCAGTTTTCTGGGAGGAGAGCCAGAGCCATGCTGAGGGGAGCAGGGAATGCTCTTCCTGTTGCCGGCAGGCCCGTGCAAGTGTACACACATGCAGGGGAAGGTTCTTCAGCTTCTCGCTCTTCATCCAGAGAGGCAGGCAGCTGGGGGTGCTGCTGCCAGTGCAGAGTCCTCTCCCTCCTGCCGCCACCGCTCCTGCTCCCTACAACTGTTACTGGTGTTAAGTCCGCGTTCAGTCCAGCCTCCTCTGCATCTTGGAATCAGACTGGATCCAGTGAAGCTCCGGCCACCAGCCTGTGCACTCATTTCCACTATTTCAAACCAAGCATTTTGCTTTTGAACCCCAGGGTGTATCCCTCACCTTGGAAAGTGTTGCTTGCTAGTTGATTTTTCTTTTCCTGAGGTCTGCAGCTGCAAGTGTCTTCTGTCTACTTTCTCTCATACTCCTGGTCCAATCTTTCAAAATCCTTTTCCACTTATTTTGTGGTTTGGGGTTTCAGACATCTCCTAATTTCTTCAAAGATAGAGTTTTCATTTGTTTTTTTTTTATTGTTGTTTTATTCCCTCTTAGTTGCTTGGGATAATTCTCCAGGGAAGGATGAAGAAAGGCTATCTTTACCACATTCAAATCTTTTAAGTTTTACTTTTTTCCTCCAAAAAGAAAATGCTTTTATGATTTCTTTGAATCTAAAGTTACTCCAAAATCCAAACAATACAGAAAGGATGCAGAGGGAAAAAGTAAAAAGCTATCATCTGAAATCTGTATCATTAACCTAAAGTAGTAATCTCTGTTAACAAATGAGCACATATCCTGATGCACATGAACTGACCTTTTCCCATGCTTTTTTTTTCCCACTGAAAATTGAGCATTTTCTTGCAAATACAGATTTAAATTATAACTTTTAATAGCTACATGATATTCACGAGAACTTTCCTTTAACTAAGAGTATCTTGAGACACTGAAATGTTTAAACTTTAAAGTAAACAATCCCATAAAACCAGAAGTCGTGCCTCTTAAAGATCAAATTTTCCACATTTTAGTTTGCTTGTAAATGAGAGAAAATGAGGGGTTTATTCCACAGGCTTTTAGAAATAAAACAAGCAGGCCTACGCTAGGTAACTAAGGGTTCGTTTTACAAGTTACTGTTTCCACGACCTTTGTTCCCTGTATAATGAATACACTGTATTTTCCTGGTTTCTCATTTACAAGAGGGAGAAACTCCGAACAAAATTATCCAAGTTTTATACCAACGACAGATAATCTCTACAGGTTATTAATCAAGAAGAGTGTCAAGAGAATTACAAGCTGCTCCTTTTACAACTCGAGGTGAGCTTGTACTATGGTGTTAAACGAGGGAATGTGTGCAAATTGCCTGCAGGCTGTGAGTTTTCATTAAACTGTCTTTTCTAATCCATTTCCTTAATTATAAGAGACTTAGAGCTACATAAACACTGAACCTCAGAGCTATGGCTGTGAAGTAAAGAGAGAAAACATTCTGTTCTTTCTCTCAGCAGACCACAGAGGCAATTTTTTTTCACTGAAACATCCCCTACGCAAATGAGCAAACCTCCAGATGGCAAAGCACTGGCATGAGCCAAGGAACAACAATTCTGAGTGAGTGTTATTCACAAAACTACTCCAGTAAGTGCTTGAGTGTAGACTGTAGGTTAGGAGATGCCGCTTATGAAACTGGGTAATCCTTGATTCAGCAGTAAAGTCAGGCCCAAGAATTGGAGCTAGAGAAGTCCAGTAACCCGTCTCAGTGATTTACTATAATCAAGTCACCACCAACAATAATAGCCTGTAACATTTGGGTGTTTACTATGTACCAAGGAGTTCCTAATTTAACCCTCACATCAACCTGATAAAGTAGGAACTGTTATTATTACTTCTAATTACAAATTGGAAACAGAGACTCAACAAGGTTAATCTACTTGCCAGTCATACAGCTAGTAAGTGGGGATGTGGAACCTGGACCCAGGGCTGTGTGACCCCCAAGGCCCACACCTGTCACTGCACTATACAGCTTCATGCACTTAACAGCGATGGGAACTCAGAAGAGGGGTAAGTGATTTTGATCAAGGCAGGCAGAAGAGACAGCAATCAGGCTGGGCCTGGAAAGGCAGACAGAGAGGCAGAGAAAGGTCAAAGTCCATGTGAGGAAAAGCACACAGGAAAGGAAAGCAGAGGCAGAGTTTTTGACAGCCAGGTGGATGATACTAAGTAAGTACCACCTCCCTGTCCCCCATCTATCGGGTAAGATGCTGTTCTAGACACTGGAAGACAAGATATGTGAGAGACAAAGATAGAAGCTAGTTCCAGCTCTGCCTCTCATCATTATGTGGCCTTAGGTTAGTCACTTACCACTCTGGGCCTCAGCCTAGTCTGCCAGATAAGAAATGTAATGGGTTATCAAGTTCTGGTTTAGGTAACATAACAATATCTCATGTATTTTGTATTTTATAATCTTTTTAGAAATAGACTTCCTATTGTAAGAAGGATATGAAATAGCTATTCAATCAGGTTTGGATGTGAAATTGTCATTCATTCACTTCAACAAATAATTATAGAGCACTTTTTATGCACTAAATCTTACTGAGTGCTAAAGTTATAAAAATATGGATCTTATCTTCCAAAAGCCAAATACAGAAGGGTAGAATAATATAAACAAATAATTACAACACTTTGTGAATGTTTAACAACAAAAGCTTGTACAGAGTGTGACTGCGAAGTAACTGATTAACTCTGTCCAGGGCGGGGGTGGGGGGGAGGGTGCAGGTAGGGAGGGCAAAAATCACAAAGGTTTTCAGAAGAGTGATGCCCGCAAGGTAAATCTTGAAGAAAATGTAGGGCTGAGCTAGGCAAGAAGGGGGAAAAGAGCATTCCAGAAACAGAAAATACTATGTGCAAAGGCAGGTGTAAACCCACGTAGCATGTTCAGGAATATCAAAGAGCTAAAGCGGTTGAGATGGAAGATTCCACAGTAGATGAGGCTGAAGAAGGGGCTGGGTCAGATGACAGAGAGCCTAGCTCACTGGCAGGTCTCCGCAATTAACAATGCTGCAGTCCGGCGAATAACCAAGTGCCTGGCACAAATACCAGGTGAAAACAATAAAACAGACTCCAAACCCCAGCAGCTAGCAGGTTAGAGCTGCTCCCACATCTCCCACTCTGATCACAGCCAGAAGTGGGGTGACTAAGTGCACAGGAGAAGAAAATCAGTGTGGCTGGGGGACTACGGAGGCAGTGGCTGGAAGATCAAGCCAAACTGGGGCGGGTTCAATGGAGGCTACTGAGGTTTAAGAAACTGAAGATGTTCCACAAACAGGAGATGAAAACTCAGGAAGAGCCGTAACGGCCACCGTTAAACATCTCGAGGACTTCACGTGAGGAAAGAAGAACTAAAACAGTTGTGGCGGCTCCAGGGAGTAGCACTGGCCCAGGAGAAACAAGAGGTTCGAGCTCAGGTAAGAGAGGACCACACCTGTTAACAGCCTCCGTAGGATGCATTCTCAACAGCATCTCCCTTTTTGCCCTTTCCCCTGGCAGCACCAGCAGAGACCACAAGATGCTCATGGCTGCAGCCTTTTCTGAAGCAGAGCAAGGGCCAGTAGAGCCCCTGGCCAATGAAACCTGAGGGGCAGCCTGCTGACGGCGGGGGGGGGGGGTCTTACAGAAAACTTCTTCCTTCCGGTGAAAAGAGTGTCTCTTCCTGCCTAAGACTGGGTCGTGTGAGTACGTGATGCTGTAGACAGAGCTGCTCCCTTGCATGTCAAGGCAGACAAGCTGCCCCAGGGCTACTGAATTAGCCATTTCAGAACCTTTCTGCCAGACTTCTTGTTATGCAAAAAAAGTAAGTAGCTTTTAAGCTGTGAATACTGTTAGCTGCAGCTGATACAGGTCAAGGCTCAGAGGTGAACAAAGACTGAATGTGCAGCTTCAGAGAAAGGTCCTGACAAAGGCTTGGCAGAATACTGTAAAGCAGAGCCAGGTACCAGGAAATGTTTCTATCCCAAGGTTTGACAGACTGTTTTACCACTGTACCTTCTCATGATTTTATTCAGCCTCACCAAAAAAAATTTCAGTACGGAAAAAAGGAACACATGATATAAAATGCTGTGTATCTAGGAAGAAGATGAAGAATAGAAGAAGGCAAAGGTAATGGATGTTATAAGTAAAGAGCCCTGGTTTAAAAAAAAAATTGTCTCTGCATATTTGTGAATGATGCTCCAAAGTTTAAAGTTTAAAAAAGAAAAAGACCCATGAGGACAGAATACAGTTGAAGGAGTCTGAAGCAAATACAAGGTGTGGAGGAAAAGGAAAAGCAGCAAAAATAAGAAAGAAGTGTAAGTTTCTGCCTGTAGCCAACACTGATTTATTGAGAAAATAACTTTCAATGGAAAGTTGGGTTATTAAAAAAAAAAATCCTGGCAAGAGAGGATCCTACTACCTAAGGTTAAGGTAAGACACCTGACAAAATATGTCAGTTATTAACAAAGCATTTCAAGGCTGGCTGCCTAAATGAAACATCAGAATTACATCCTCTCCAGAGAGCTCCGCATAGTCTAAGGTTTGATGAACACTTGAGTCCTTACCTCTCTCTCCTGAGAGGCTACTTTCTGCTGCCATCAATCCTTTTTGGTAGACTCCAATTTAACTGTGTTTATTCTAAACATCCACATTGAAAAGTGCTGCATGCAAGATTTAAAAAATAAGGAAGACAGTGCCTAATGCTCTCAAGAAAACTACAGTTGACTGGAAAGGACAAGACAAATCCATTAGACAGAGCAGAAGGAAAGTCTTCGCTGTGCCGGGAGGGGTCAGGCAAGAGGTGGGATCTGAGATGAGCCTTGAAGGACAGGCAGGATTTTGAGAGGCAAAAAGGGCAAAGAGGAGGCTACAACCCAAATAAATCACCCAATTAAGCAGGCAAGAAATGAGTTTTTCCCCCCAACTGTCAAATGCTCGAACAGATAACACTTTTGGTAGGTAGGAGTAAACTGGTACATTTGTAAAAGACAGTTTAACAGTACAAAGTGTTTTAAATGTTCACCACTCTATAATTTAGCAGTTCAAGTTTCATATATATATATATATATATATATATATATATATATATATATAAAACATATATATACACACACACACATCTCCTAAAGAGAAATCATGGTATTTTATACCATGTGCATATATTATTTGCTCAAAAAAAATTAAGACTAATTATAGTGTGGGGAAAAAAAGAATTATATGGAGGTTCACCATAACATTGTTTATTAGAGCCAAATGTTGTCAGCTAGAAATGTGGTTAAATATTACCTCTATACAATATAATGGTATAAAGTGTTTATAATAACAGAAGTATATTAATTGACATAGAACATGTTAACGTAAGTTTTAAAAGCAGGTTTCAGAACAAGGTACTGCAAGAGCCCATCATTTATTTTATATACATATATATGTGTGTGTGTATGTATATATATATATCTCCACAGAAAAATCACAGGAAAGGTATGCAACAACAAAAAAATCAGTGATTTTCTCTCAGACATAAAATAACAGATGATTTTTATTTTTGCTTATTTGTATTTTCTCATTTGCTAAAGTAAACATGTATCATTTACACACTGAGAAATAAAAACATAGGATTGTGTAAATTTTCTAAGATATATGGGTAATATTTAGTCCTTTTATGGCACTATTCCACACATACAGTACAATACCATGTTTTGTAAGATGACAGTGAATGTCACTGCTCAGTCAATTTATGCATTTCCTTGAAAGGATAGAAGTACCTACAGGGAGGAGGGAGAGGAAAGCAGATTGTTTCAACAGACCCCGATCTCTGTTTCCTTGTGGTTTGAACACCGATGATGGGACATGTCTCCTGAAACCGTTTTACTTCAAACACCACCTTCCTCAGAGAGGGTGGCTTTCTCTCTATTATGGGTCATTCTTCAGCCTCCAGACCCTTAAATATTTTCTAATCATCTACAAAGAGAAGTATGCACTCTTCATTTCACATCTGTTTGCAACTCTTTTTAGGAACCTGACTGGCAGAGCTTAGATTAAAATTCTAGGGAAGTTCTAGCTGCCAGTCCAGACCACAGCCCATGGGAAGTGTGGTGACTCTCTAATGGGGTCTCAAGGGTCTCCTGGTGGGTGATAACAATGGATCCAAAAAGGAAAGGCCTTACAGGCAAATGACAATCAATTCCTCAGGTTTTCATCTTCATGAGTGACTAAGAACTACATCGTAGTAACCTCTTAACTGAGGTATTAAGAGATAAAACGTAGTGTTCATAAACCAAATTAGATATTATTACAGTCAAGCAGTGTTTAAAAAAAAATGTAGCCCACAGTAAGAAAAACATGTTACATCATGAACCAGACATACAGACACACATAACCAAAGCACAGGTTTCACAACAGTACTTCTTGCTACATGAGGCACTTTATTTTATATTCCAGGTCAATTTAAAATAATCTCTAGTAGTTTTTAAGATAGCCGCACATGTTTTCACCCTGTCTGCTCCCCTTGAATATGGGCAGGCTCAAGACTGCTTCAGCCAATAGAGAACACTTGCCCTCTAGATACCTCTTTTAGGAACCCACTTTCTTGGAAAACCATCCACTATGCTGTGAGAAGTCCAAACCACACAGAGAGGCTACATATAGGTGCTCTGGTCAACAGCCCCAGCTTATCCCACCGCCTTCAAGGCATCCCAGCCCAGGGACCAGACACGTAGTTGTGAAGGAGCCTCCAAATGGTTTTCTCACCCCCAGCCACTGGAAACACTCCCTGCCATCTGAGGCCCCAGGCATCCTGGAACTGAGACAAGTCACTCCCTACCATGCCCCATCCAAATTCCTGGTCCAGAATCCATGAGCATAATAAAATGGTTGCAGTTTAACGCCACTAAGTTTGGGGTGGTTGGTTGCACAGCAATAATAACTAGAACAGTAGTCCTCAGCATAATCTGCAAAACTGATGTCATGATCCATTAGGGCAGTTCGACAGACACTGGTTCAGAGGACACTGATTCAGTATCTGAAGCCTGGCATTCAAACCTACCAAGTTCCCGCTGAGTCTCTGCACACCCAGACAGGTTCAAACTATTGTCACTGGGAATGGATGGAATGGGTGGGATGGGGTAAGGGAGAAAGTAGGGTGTTTGGCCCCATATAGATGTGTCAGCATCAAAAAGGCTTAAGACTGGGGCCAAGCTCTGAAGCGCAAAGGTGGATAACGTTGTTCTGGCCAGAGTCTAAAGGTGTTCCTAGCTTCCGAAGGATGGTCCAACGTCCCTGCATAACCATCTGCCAAAACAGATACTTAAGGTCTCCACAAAAACCTTCTAGTCTAAAAGCTCCCTACTTACTTCTATCCACTTTCAGTGCTTTCAGCCCTATCTATAGTTTCAGACTTTTCTGTTAATGGATAACTTTCATCTAAATATAAACTCAGATTAATCTGTTAAGGATTAGCAGATTCTTTAAAGAAAAAAAAGGGAGGGGGTAGTAAGAAGCATTTCTGGTGAATGGAGAGTGTCCAGCAGGTCTGGGGCCAGAGAATTTAACTGTAATTGGTTAATCAGGCTTTTCTTTCTTAAATATCACTAGTTATACTAATGTTGTAATACTGGCCTTGAGGGAAAAAACAGGAAATTCATGACTAGGATAGGACTCCCAGGAAGGACAGCCTGGGAATGGGATCTCTGAGGAAGCCCCCCCCCAAGGGGAGGGAAGCTCTATAAGTGCTCCCTCCTGGTGGAAGTGGGTCCTCTCACAGAACTGGCCTCAAAGAAGTGCCCCTTGCAAGGAAAGGTCCGGATCAGAGAGGGTGGGAGTAGGGGCTGGGGGAACCCTCAAGTCAGAGGTCAGGTGACTTCAAGGAGAACAGGTCTGATCCAGGACTTAACGGTGGCCTTGGGATATGAACAGCATGTCTGCAGTACATTGTTGGTGACCACGAAAGCAAGGACAAACACCTCTGAGCTTGAGACAGTAAAAGACCAACCAGAAAGGAGAACTGGAAAGCACTGAAAAAGCCTAAACTAACTTAACTGATTTACACATGTCTTCCCCTATTCTGTAATAGAAAATACTGTACTGCTACCTCAGATAAATTTGGTTTGAGTTTTTTGTTTGTTTTTAATCTAGATGTACTGCAGTTCGATGCATTCTTTAACGTGTAATGCACACAGGTCATTAGGTATCTGAAAAACTGTGTCTGGGGCAACTGGTAAACTAAAGCCACATTCAAAAGGGCAACTAACCACCATTCGACAGTGGCAGCAGGCCTACTGACACATTTAAGCCAGTGAGCACCAGCATAAGACTCATAGGAAATACAGAAAAAGTCCTGATTTCTCCTTGGCATGTAGGTACTCAGTGAGAATCAATAGGAAAATGAATGCATAGACAAACAGGTTGGGAAATTTGGGGTAACTGGGGAAGTGTAAGTATTAATTAGTTTCTTTTTGTCTCTTCTACTATAATAAGTAGAGGAGAGCAAAAGTGAGGTTAATGAAACAAAAACAAAAGCCTAAGCAGGATGAAGAGATGGACTGTGGCCCTCTCAGAAATTAGTTGGTCACTAAGAAACAGCCCATTCATCTGCATGGAACTTGGCTAAGGCCAAACTAAGAAAGGGTCATGTGACTTCAAAAAAGATTCAAAATGAGCTGACAAAGAAAAGTGACCCATTAGGGAGAGAAATAAACTGGACTAAATTCACTTACTAAACAGCAATTTCAAACATTCAACTGAACACATGCCAGGCACTGCACCAGGGATACAAAGACACAGGCCCTCCCTCCATCACGGAGATACAGTCTATAGAGGAAAGAACAACAGACCATACAGTGCGCCACCTGGTAAGTTAGAACTAAGCATGGACCAGAGGGTTCAACAAAGATTCTTGAAAGATGTGATCTCAAACCTCATTCATCAAGGGCAAGCAGGAGTTAGCCAGGTAGGGAAGGGGGCTACAGGAAGAAGAAATAATATAAGCAAAGATTCAGTGACCAACTTTTGGAAATGCATCTTTAGAGGCCTGCAGACGCTAGTCCCAGCATACCTTCAGATCCAACCATCTCTGATCCCTTGGCAGACAAAATCCCACCTCCCCTTAAGGTTGTCGACGCTATTCTACTACCATGCTTCATTCCTGCTCAGCTCTCCCTCCTTCCCTGAACACCT